AACAGGATCTAGTAGATAATAACTTCAAAGTACTTATAAACTACATATATGGACTTAGTTCTGTAAAGGATTGAAATCCATTTGGAAACTACGTATATGGACTTAGTTCTGTGAAGGATTGAAATCCATTTGGAAACTACATATATGGACTTAGTTCTGTAAAGGATTGAAATCCATTTGGAAACTACTTATATGGACTTAGTTCTGTGAAGGATTGAAATCCATTTGGAAACTACATATATGGACTTAGTTCTGTGAAGGATTGAAATCCATTTGGAAACTAAATATATGGACTTAGTTCTGTAAAGGATTAAACTCCATTTGGAAACTAGATATATGGACTTAGTTCTGTAAAGGATTAAACTCCATTTGGAAACTACATATATGGACTTAGTTCTGTAAAGGATTGAAATCCATTAGAAGTACATTAGCAGTATCTTCATATAAAATCAATGGTACAACAAGAAAGTAATTGTCAAACATTTTCCAGTTGAGGATCCCATGTTTTCAGCATTTATTTTTGTATTTAAGACAATACAGTTTTTAATGGGTATTGTAAACGATTAAAAAATAGTTTTGATATCACGATACGTATATCTAAAAATGTGCAAATTTTGCCACAAAAATTTGCGTATTGTGCTATGTTTCACCTACTTTTTAAAATTAGTTAATCTTTTCCATTGTTCAGGTACTGTTCATAGATTATCATGAATTGTGATGTGCAGATTGGTAGTTTGTGTGACATTACATCACTATAACAATGAGAATAGTTTTCCACGATTTCTAAACAATTACCAGTTTCCTCAACAAGTGACTTTTCATGTGTTATAAATACCCGTTGCTTAGCGTCATTAACCGTTGAGAGACAATATATTGTGTAAAGAAGCAATTTAATGAAGATGTGTCTGAGATCATTTTAACTGTCAAGTTTCAGTTGTTAGAATTTTACCATTATAACAAGTTTTTGCATTCGTTGAACTTTTTTCTAGACCTCGTTAGAGCCAGAAAGAATCAGCTTACCTCTATCTCAGTTCCAGGATTTAAGTAAGTATTTTTTTCTTCTGACAAAATACCAGGGTTTGTATAATTGTACCTGCTACATTATTCTCGTATTGATGTGTTTTTTAACAGCTTGTAATGGTTTTAAACAATTTAAATGTTGATCAAGCATGTTCAGTATAATTTTATGACAAAAAAAGGATCATTCTTGAGAAAAAAAAGAAGCGTGGTACTTAAAGCATCAAGGTCATACCACGGAACCTAAGAGCTAAAGTCTGGCATGCTAACAACCAGACTACAGACCACGGAACCTAAGATCTACAGTCTGGCATGCTAACAACCAGACTACAGACCACGGAACCTAAGATCCACAGTCTGGCATGCTAACAACCAGGCTGCAGACCACGGAACCTAAGATCCACAGTCTGGCATGCTAACAACCAGGCTGCAGACCACGGAACCTAAGATCTACAGTCTGACATGCTAACAACCAG